CCTGCCACCCGCTCACCCTGGCTTTCCCCAGCCCTCTCCAGCCGGCCTTATTCTGTCCAGAGGTCTGGGTGGGAAGCGCTACCATGCTTGACCTGGCCTGTCAGTTTCCCTAGTACCAATCAGCTGACTGCTGGCTTTGACGGGGGAATATATTTCAAACATTTTGTAGTAAAAAAAAAAAAAAAAGGCAAAGATAAAACTGGCCTACACATTGAGAGACATGGGCCAAAGTTCTGATTTGATCACTAACATGTCATTTTAAATGAGCCATTTGGATTCTCTGAACCTTAGTTTTTCCCACTTCTAAAATGATGCCCAAGGCCTCGTGCCATCCGACTCTGTGAATTTTTTTTCCTCCCCCTGAGCCCCTTCAGAGGAAAAGGGAGGCTGTAGAAGGGTATGACTGGATGAAAGGCTTGTCCCTGCCCAGAGCACTGCAGGTGGCAGGGCACTGCTGCAGGGTGGTCCAGAGGCTCTGCCCTCCCTCCTCCCTTATGAGCTGTGAAAACACCAGGTGGGCGCTGCCTGCCTGGGAGCCACAGGGGCAGGACCTGCCTCAGGCCAAATATAAACTCCTGGCTGAGCTGACTTATGCTCCCCAAGTGGCTCAGGGCTGCACTTTCCCAAAAACATTTCACGACAGTGTCCATCAGAGGAGCCCTAGTCAGTAGTCCTGGGATAAAGCAGTTTCTTTGTGAGCCAGCCTCTCTGGGTCCCCAGACCCCATGTAGTCTCACGGGTCAGGAGAACCCTCTGGAGGAGCAGGCAGAGTCCTAGCCCCCCCGCTCATCACCCCACAGGGGTCTGCACCCACCCTGTGCCTAGAAATCAGATCTGCCACCTTCTCAGATGATCATCCATCCTGGATATCACCATCGTGGGGCACCACAAGCCTACGACGACCTGTTCAGCTTTACAGCGGGCTCTGAGAGCTGGAGGGAGCAGCAGAGGGAAGGTCTCAAATTGTTTCTGGCATTCAGTGCAGGGTGGGAAGGTCAGAGCTTCCTCCCCTAGACAAACAGCCCCCAATGTGTCTTCCAGGCGAGGGCCTCTGTTAAGCTGTTGAGCAGACCGGGCTCTGAAGGACAGCGGCCACCCAGTTAGAGGGCAGGGAAACTTCTGCAGATGCAGCCCCCTGGCAGCCTGGAGCTCTCCAGAAATTGGCAACCATGGAGGGGGTGCAGGGGAGGTGACCAGGGCAT